TCCTCCTCCATACCTGCCTTTCTTTTCTCTCTTAATTTGGGCTGCTATAACAAGGTACCACAGACTGCGTGGCTTAAACAACAGAAGTTTATTTCTCCCAGCTCTGTAATCTAGGAAGTCCAAGACCAAGGCCCTGGAAGATGCAGTGTCTGGTGAGGACCCACCTCGTGGTTCATAGATGGCCATCTTGTGGGTATAATGTCACGTGGGAGCACTCTGGGGTCCCTTTTATAAGGGCACTAATCCAGTTCATAAGGGCTTCACCCTCATGACCTAATCACCTCCCAAACGTCCCACTCCTGACACCATCACACTGGGGGTTAGGATTTCAACATATGACTTTGGGGAAGACATAAGCATTCAGCCATAATACTCTCCGTCCACCACTTTTATCACTGATTATTTTACTTGAAGGGAAACCCTGATATATTTTTAAACTGCCCTGGAACTGAGCCAGAGTGAGCCCTGCAGCCCCAAACTGACGCTTTAATTGGTCCCAGATGGAAAGGAGAAACTATCGCTCTTACACTGGTCTTACCTCCCTGAAGGCCTATGCAGGTCACGTGTGAAATGGCTTCCCCATTTCCAAGGTCTAATCCCTGCTGACAGTGGCCTGTGTCTCACATCGAGTCTGCAGAGTTGGACGGTCCCTCTCCAGGGAGCTCTGCAGGGGTGGCTGACTAGCAGCCTGACAGGGACATGGATGAGAGGACAAATCCTCGCACCTGGCAGTATAAACACAGCACGGGGATGTGAACATAGGGCATGGCGAACAAAGGGACTGCCTCTGCCTAGGACCACGGACGGCTCCAGAGATGCAATGACGTCTGGCAGAAGTTGAGAGGACGCATGTTGATGGTGACATAAACAGAGCCTTTTAAAAGCAAGGCAGGAAGAATGTTGGGACAAATATAAGAATGGAAAAATACGAGCTATTCCTTCAGGTCAATTTTTAAAGAGCGGAGAAATGCAGTCTGTAAACTCCTGGGTCTCATTACCACCCATCAGGTCCCTGGCTCCACACAGAACCTGCCAAGTCCCTAGAGGAGGCCTTTCTAGAAAGTCCTGTGCTCTGTTTGCTGATTGAGTCAGTGTTTGGGCCTATGTCTGTGTTTTGTCACGTATCATCAGGGACATGAATACCTTCATTACTACTCTGTGCAAATATGAGAGTTAAGAGACAATAGCAATAAAATGACTGCAATTCCTTGGCAAAAGGCACTTGGCAGGTCTTATAAACACATAGATCTTCGATGCAAGTTCATGGCTGGGGAACTACTTCTCGTGGCAGGGATTGTCTGTGTGCAGAAACTCACCGTAAAGGACAGACAGCGTGCCGAATCACCAGTCACAAAGCCGACTTTCTCTCCATCCCTTCTATTCCCAGGTCTCATTATGTGCAATGTCATATGCATGCACACAGACGCACAGGAATACCCACACAGCCAGGACAGAGGTGCCAAGGGAGGTGTTTTGCATGCATTCCGTACTTGGGGTTAGATGTACTTGCTCAGCTGCCAACTACAAATAGCATGCTAGAAAATGATGTTAATTAGTATGCTATTGAAAAAAAACAAGAAAAAAAAAAAAACACTGCCCACAACAACAAAAAAAAGCCATGTAGAGGCCTGAAGTCCTACCCTGACAGCCAAAGTGAAGCATGGCCCGCTAATGCAGCCTTAATCCACTTTGTTTGGCAGAGAAAGCAAGCTCACCATGCTGCTGCGGGAGTCCCTGGGGAACATGAACTGTCGCACCACCATGATCGCGCACATCTCGGCGGCGGCTGGGAACTACGCGGAAACCCTGTCCACCATCCAGATCGCCTCGAGAGTCTTGAGAATGAAGAAAAAGAAAACGAAGGTAAGGAGCTCGCGGGGGGTGTGGTGATGAAGGAGCTTTGGGGGCCCTGCTTTGGAGAGGAGTCCGAAAGAGCTGAGTCAGCATTTCTAATCACCCAGCACCAGGGTTATGGGCGCTCAGTGTCCACCTGGGGGCCAGAAAACCTTCAGGCTGATACAGGAAGAAAGTCATTGCCCATCCCTACAGTTGGTGCTTTGCCCCGGTCATCCAGCCTGGGCCCCTAACAGGGGATGCTTGTCCACTTTACATAGTTCAAATGGATTTGTACTTAGAGATGGAACATTTGCGAGGGACAGGAAGTACATAGGACTCCCTCGCCTGCCTTGGTCCTATGTAGATCACAACCGTATCCTTCAACTGGCTGACCCCATATAGGAGTGTTAACTTGCTGCCCACGTGGCCCCACTTCCCTTGTTTCCAGGAGGCACTTTCAGGCTGCTGGGTTTTGCCACGTTCATTCAGCAGTTGTTGGCTGATGCTAAGAGTCTGCTAGAAACCACCAGGCTCATTTTCCACACAGAGGCCAAGCCAGGGCAGGGGTGGCCTGACAAGTGTTTGAGGAGATACTCGTGATTGTGGTCACTCTGATCTAGGGCCAGCAGGCGACGTGTGGGGCTTTCCCCACTTCTTTTTGTAGCTTTTCTTTGTAGAAAACAAGTCTTTCCAACCAGTGTCCCACGATACAAGGTACCACAGATGGCTTAGGTGGGCCAGGTTGGTGACCCCTCAGCCCTTAGGAGATCAGACAGGGCCTAGGTTGGTCACCTCCTTTCCTGAGCAGCCTCTATTTCCCCATGTGCCACGTAGGGGTTACCCTGCGCATTTAAGGCCATGATATGGAACACAGGACACAGGCCTGGCACTCCTCCCAGGTAACAGCCCATTTGCAGGGAGACCCACCAGAGGGCGTGGGGAGCCTGTATCCATCCAGTCAGCAGGGCGGGCTCCCTGGGGCCGCCTACTTGGAAGGCTCCCCACGCTAATTGTTCTCCTCTCACTCACAGTACACATCAAGCTCCTCTGGGGGAGAGAGCTCCTGTGAAGAAGGTAGGATGCGCAGGCCCACGCAGCTGAGACCCTTCCACGCCAGGGCCACGGTGGATTCGGACTTTGCGATCCCTCACCTGTCCAGTGACCCCGACTACTCTTCCAGCAGCGAGCAGTCCTGTGACACAGTCATCTATATCGGGCCAAACGGCACGGCCCTCTCGGACAAGGAGCTCACTGACAACGAGGGCCCCCCAGACTTTGTCCCCATTGTGCCGGCCCTGCAGAAGACCAGGGGTGACAGCCGGCCCACGGAGGCTGGAGAGGCCACGGCCAGCAAACCAGAAAGGGACTGCTTGAAATGCAACACGTTTGCCGAGCTGCAGGAGAGGCTGGATTGCATTGATGGCAGCGAAGAGCCCAGTAAGTTTCCTTTTGAAGAGCTGCCTGTCCAGTTTGGGGCCGAGCAGGCAAGCAAGTGTCCCCCGTTAAGCCAAGCGGGTGGGGCAAACCCGCTCAGTGAGTCTGATAAGGAAGATAATGGGTCAGACGGCCAGCTGAGTGACAGAGAAGGCACTGATTCCCTGGCTTCCAGGAGGCAGAGGAATCACTCGCCTGTCCCTGCGGCCATGCTCACCAACAGCCCCCCTCCTGCCTCACCTAGGAGTATCCCTGGCAGCAGCAGCCAGCATAGTTCTTCTCAGCTAGTGCAGAGCCCCAGCCTCCAGAGCAGCCGAGAAAGCCTGAACTCCTGTGGCTTTGTGGAAGGCAAGCCCAGGCCCATGGGCTCCCCCCGGCTGGGCGTTGCCAGCCTGTCCAAGACCTCAGAGTACAAGCCGACCAGCTCTCCTTCCCAGAGATGCAAAGTCTACACCCAGAAGGGCATCCTGCCTTGTCCTGCCCCGCTGCCTCCCTTGAGCAAGGATCCCGGCATGGTACCCGGCGAGTCCCTGCTGCAGCCTGAGGTGCGTACCCCCCCGGTTGGAATGAGTCCCCAGGTTTTGAAGAAATCCATGTCTGCTGGAAGCGAAGGGTTCCCCGAAACCCACGCCGATGATGAGCATCAGGCAGCAACTTCTCCGGATTCCAAGAAGGAGATCGTGAGCACCACCATGGTGACCGTGCAGCAGCCGCTGGAGCTGAACGGTGAGGACGAGCTGGTGTTCACGCTGGTGGAGGAGCTGACCATCAGTGGGGTCCTGGACAGCGGCCGCCCCACCAGCATCATCAGCTTTAACAGCGACTGCTCGGTGCAGGCCTTGGCCTCGGGCTCCCGGCCTGTCAGCATCATTGGCAGCATCAGCGAGGACCTGGAGTGCTACTCCAGCATGGCTCCGGTCTCCGAGGTCAGCATCACGCAGTTCCTGCCCCTCCCGAAGCTGAACCTGGACGAGAAGGGCCGGGAGGCAGGGAGCAGGCGTTCCTCCATCAGCTCCTGGCTGAGTGAGATGAGCACAGGCAGTGATGGCGAGCAGTCGTGCCACAGCTTCATAGCCCAGACATGTTTCGGGCATGGGGAGGCGATGGCAGACCCCCCGGTCTCAGAGTTTGTCGGCAGCCTCCAGAACACCCCCGTGGTGTGTCGGGAGAAGCCGAAGGCGGGCCCTGATAATTTGCTCATCTTGTCTGAAATGGGGGAAGACTCTTCCAACAAAGCCACCCCCATCAAAGGCTGTAAGATCTCCACCCTGGGCAAGGCCATGGTCACCATCTCCAATACTGCAAATCTGAGCAGCTGCGAAGGGTACATCCCTATGAAGACCAACATTACTGTTTACCCTTGCATTGCCATGAGCCCCCGGCATGTCCAAGAACCCGAGGCATCCATTGCCACTGTTGACTCGGCCTCCAAAGCAGCCCCATCCCAGGAGAGCAAGGAAACCGGTGCAAAGAAAGAGATGACATTTGAGGACCCCTGGCTAAAACGAGAAGAGGAGGTAACGAGAGAGAATGCTTATCCCAGTGAAGAAGAGATGAAGTATGAGATTGCGACAGGCCCCGCCAAGCCTGAGGCCAGAGCAGAGCGGGAACTGGACAGGAAGGCCAGCCCCGGTGACAGGCTGAGCAGCAGCAGCGGTGAGGTGTCTGCCTCCCCCGGCACCGACAACTTCAGGAGGGTTGTGGATGGCTGTGAGATGACCCTGCCCAGCGCGGCTGCCCAGAGCCCTGCATATCCCAACAAAAGCCTGAAGTCCAGCAGCCTTCCCAGGGCTTCTCAGAAAGCCAGCCGACAGGAGGAGCTAGACAGCATCTTCTACCACTGCACCCCGGAGACCAATGGCATTGGTAGCGCTTCCGGCACGCAGCCCTCTAAGGCAACCCTGGAGAGGAAGGTAGCGTCACCCAAGCACTGTGTCCTGGCTCGCCCTAAAGGGACTCCCCCTCTGCCCCCTATCCGAAAGTCCAGCTTGGACCAGAAGAACCGGGCCAGCCCCCAGCACAGTGCGTGCAGCAGCACCAGCAGCCCCTTGAACCAGCCCACGCCCTTCTTAGCCAGCTTCCCGGATGAGCCTAGCGGCAAGGCGAAGGATGCCAGTAGCAGCAGCAAGCTCTTCAGTGCCAAGCTGGAGCAGCTGGCCAGCAGGACCAACTCTCTGGGCAGGACAACCGTCAGCCACTATGAATGCCTCTCGCTGGAGCGGGCGGAGAGCCTGTCCTCCATGAGCTCCCGGCTGCACGCCGGCAAGGACAGCACCATGCCCCGCGCTGGGAGGAGCCTGGGCCGCAGCGCCGGGGCCTCGCCCACCAACCCTGGCCCTCCACAGTCGCAGTCCGCCGGGGCCTCCCCCAAGGCCAGCCAGTCCAAGATCTCTGCCGTGAGCAAGCTGCTCCTGGCCAGCCCCAAAGCTCGCAGCCTGTCCACCTCCACCACCAAGACGCTCAGCTTCTCCACCAAGTCCCTGCCACAGTCCGTGGGCCAGAGCTCCAACCCGGCCCCGAGCAGCGGCAAGCACATGGCCTGGTCCACGCAGTCGCTGAGCAGGAGCCGGGGCTCCGGCCTGGCTGCCAAGCTGCCGCTGCGCGCGGTGAACGGGCGCATCTCGGAGCTGCTGCAGGGCAGCGCAGGGCCCCGGGCCTTGCAGCCGCGGGCAGGGCCCGACGAGGAGCGCGCGGGGGGCCCCGATGACAAGCCGGCAGCCGTGCCCCTGCTGCCATCGCCCTACAGCAAGGTCACGCCGCCGCGGAAGCCTCACCGCTGCAGCAGCGGCCATGGCAGCGACAACAGCAGCGTGCTGAGCGGCGAGCTCCCGCCCGCCATGGGCAAGACAGCGCTGTTCTACCACAGCGGCGGCAGCAGTGGCTACGAGAGCATGATGCGTGACAGCGAGGCCACCGGCAGCGCGTCCTCGGCCCAGGACTCCATGAGCGAGAACAGCAGCTCCGTGGGCGGGAGGTGCCGTAGCCTCAAGACTCCAAAGAAACGCTCCAATTCAGGTAGGCACCTGGGCGCACGGGCGCTGGTGAGAGGAGGGCAAAGGGCAGGACATGTGGCCCGAGCCCCACTGCTGTCCCATCCCGTGGGTGATGAGGGGTGTCCGGGCCCGTGGGACTGACACTTGGTCTCTCCTTTCCTCACAGCCTATCACCATGTAGGCCTCAGCTGGGGACATAGCTATGGAGGGTTCCACTGTAAAAACCAGACCTACTATTTGGGCATCAATAGACCACCAGGCTGGGAATGCCTTCTGTCATCAGCCTGGTGAGAATGTGGGATGCTGGTGGCAGCCAGGAGCGCCCACTCCACACTCACCAGCCATGGGGGTAAAACTACCTGTTCCTCCATGGGTTTCCTCACCCTATGCCCAGGTTTGTCTGCTCAAGGACCAAGGTGATAGCTGCTTAGAGCTCCCTGATGGATCATATCAGAGTTCCCTCATGACCTAGTGGCTGCAGAAGCCGAAATGTGGGGCTGGTGGCCCCCAAGACCTTGGCAGCCTCTCTCTGGAAATGGGACGCATCATGTTTTGTCTCATTGAAAGTGCAAAGGGGGAGGCCCTTCCTCCACTCACCCCCCACCACAGCCTCAAACCCACAAACGCACTCATGGACCATTCTGTATGTGCACCCGCCACGGGCTGAAATGCGCCCGCACCCACGCACACCGGGCACCGGCAACCAGTCTTGGTCATCAAAGTCCAGGTTATTGTGGGACATTACCATGTGGCCATGTGTGTTTGCATGTCGCCGAGTGCTTTCACGTACTCCAATGTAGTGGCTTGAATCTACCAATCCATTTTGTTCTTTCAATATCTTACCCTTTTTTTCAAGACTTGCCTTTTTTTGGTTTGGCTGTTACGCAGGCGTCAAGAGGAAGAAAAACTGTAAAATAGCTGCCTGGAGAGGGGACAGCACATGTCCTTGCTCTGGTGCTCCTACCTTTGATAGATGCTGTCCTCTGAGGGTCTTGTGTTAGGTTAGACTATTAAAGGAAAACGGTGTGAAATAAATCGCCAGCCTAGGTGCCAGGGGTGGGATTTACTATAGAGGATGGAGGGCATTGGACCTGGGTGAGCAGCTGCTGTAGATCCAGGGCTCCGTAATGGATATGGCCGTGGAGATAGACTCCTTTCAGGTTAGGCGACCTTGTCTCGCTTATTTATTATTATTGTTAAGAGAAAATGCTGGCTGTCAGACACGATCAGCATAAATCAAAAGCAACTTCTTTAAGAGTAAAAGCCATAAAACTCCTCCCAGGAAATTCCTGGCTCGATGGCTGGATTTGACAATTGCTAGAGATGTTTGGAACTGCACAGGAGATAGGCAGTTACCTTTTATCAGAAATCGCTTTTGGATTTGGAAAGCTCTAATGCTTTGGTTACTTCCTTAGTAAATATGAACTGGAACTATGTTACTAGGAAGATGACCTTGAACTCTCTGAGTGCTTCGTAGTGCCTGTAACAGTAGAAACAACCAAAACTCACTGCACTTCACCTTGCCCGGAGGTCCATGTTGGTGGGGAGTGCGTGCAATTGGGCTTGTTCTATTGGCTATAAGGTGGAGCAGTAAGAAGACTGAGGTAAAAAGCAGGAGACTTGGGGCCCTGGGCTGTGTGACCTTTAAGGAATAACTTTTCTCTCTGGGATGCAATTTTCTCTCCTAAAAGTAAAGTGAGGGGGTGGGTAGAGAACCACAGTGGTCTCTCTGATGCCCACATTGTGTGAAATGATTCAAATAATATAAAGAATGTTAGTGGTGACACAGCTTCCTTCCCATAAGACGATCCATAGTCAGTGAGATTTATTTTCATTTAAATATTGGAGAGCTTGGTGATAAGGACGGTTCAGGTGTTGGTGGGGGAGGGGCAGGCAGCGGAGAAGACAGGCCACTGTAAAAAGTCTATGATCTGATTGGAGAGAAAGGACAAAAAGTGCAAAACAGACAACCATGAGCCAGGGCGCATTGCCAAGTCCCGAGCAGTGGAGTGAGACATCCGTGGAGAAAGCGTTCAGACAAAGGGAGGGCCCAGAGCGCCAGAGGAAGGCTTTGCGGAAACACTGAGCTCTGTCTGCCCTGAGGATGCTTAGGCAGATGGCACGGAGGGTACTGTAGGCAGAGGCAATGATGGGAGCACAAGCTCAGGGCAGCAAGAGCGTGGTCTGTGGGCAACAGAATGAGATTGTATCATCGAAGGCGATATTCTTTTTATCCCTTTTTTTTATATATATATTTTTAATTTTCTTGGGGAACAACCATGGTCATTGGTTACATTGCTTTCATCTACAATGGCATGGTTGACTCTTTTTAGGGAGGGTGCAGCTCGCAGTGGCCCACGTGCAGATCGAACTGGCAACCTTGGTGTTACCAGCACCACGCTAACCCGTCACCCGTCAAAGGCGACATTCTTAATGGATGTAATCACAGTTAGAAAATTTAAGCCCAGATCAGGTTATACCTTGAACATCTGGCAACTATAATAAGAGTCGTGCGCCCTTGAATGACGGGGATACGCTCTGTGTCATTGGGCGATTTCCTCGTCGTGCAAACATCATAGAGTGTGCCCTAACATAAGCCTAGACATACAGCTGACTACACATCTAGTGAAGCCCTACTGATTCTAGGCTACAAACCTGTGCAGCATGTTACTGCAAAACAACACAAAATTAACCAAGCACGAGAGAAAAGGATGCCATCAGGAGATGCAATAAACACGAGATGTGTGAGGCTGCTGCTGGCAGAAACCGTGTATTGTTTTACGGCAAAGTTTTTTTATAAGTAGAAAAGGTACGCTCTAAAATAACAGTAAAAGTATAGTAAATACATAAACCAGGAACATCGTCATTCATTATCATTATCGAGTATTATGTACTGTACATAATTGTATGTGCTATACTTTTATACGGCTGGCAGTGCGGTAGGTTGGTGTACACAAACACGTGAGTAATGCGTTGCGCTGTGACGTTACAATGGCGACAATCACTAGGCTATAGGAATTTTTCAGATTCATTGTAATCTTACGTGTCTTCCTGTGGCCCGGAGCACCTGCTCCGTCTCATCTCCAGCTTGGGAACAGTTCACTCTCCAGTTAAAGCTCTAAGTTGGCAGTACAGCCAGCACAGTCATTCATGGGGTGGGGAGTGCTGGGAATGTGGGGAACTGGCTCTTGTCAGTCCATAAAACCAAGCAGATTGATACTCTGTCTCTCTCCCTCTCATCTCTGAGGTCTGTGGTTCCTTTCCACAGTATACTTTCTGATTCTCTGTCCGCCTAGTGTCCGTACCTTGAGTCAGAATGAAGACAGTGAATGGTGGAGGGAAAACCGATGATACTGGGTTCTGGGGGCGGGAGTTTGGGGATGGATAGAAGCACATTCCCTGAGCACTGCTGTGAGGCCTCAGCACTCAGAGGCCCAGATTTCCTACGACTTGACCTAAGAGGCAGCGTCTTCAAACTCAGGGTGGGCACTTCTGTCCAGACTCAGTGAATTTCCACATGGAAAGCCCAATGTCAGGCTTGTCACCTGGGCCACCAGTGCGGCAGAGAATAGAGTGAGATGGGCTGTGACTGGTCAGTGGCCCCTCTTAATGCTTGCAGCTGGCGGCCACGCCTGGATGAGGGTGGTTTCAGCCTCTGTTTAGGGAGAAGGGATCTGGTTGGAAGTCTCATTAAACTATCAGCATTGAGTTTCTCAGGTCGAATCAGGGCCATTTCATGCAGCAAAACTATGCTGGCAGTTATCAGCTTAAGTGCACTTTTACACACTTGACTTCTGTCCGTGTGGATTGAGTGCTGTGTTGATGAGCAGGGAGTGATCGAGAAGAAGGAGGAGGCTGTTTCAGGATGTGTGCTCCCAAATCAGACAGGCCGTGTCCAGTGGGGCCCCATGCCACTATGTCCCGGCTAGCATGCTTTCCCACAGCTTCCTTACCACAGATGCCCCCTGACCTTCCAGCAGCTGGAAGGAAGTGGTCACTGGCAGAGACTGGGCTTGGGCAGAAAGCGGGAGAGGTGGAGATGGTGGGGCATGCAGAAAACCAAAGAAATCATATCTATGTGAGAACCCAGACTGAGGTCCTGTGATCAGCCTTCTCCCAGTGACGGTGTGGCTTGTGGGCACCACTGCTTCCAGTGCCTTTTCGAGCAATGCGAGGACCCCGCCTCTCCCTCTGAAAGTTCCTCCACAGCATTCAACTGCATTTCCTCTCATCTGATCATGCGCCCCTGACCCAGTCCTCGCCTTTCCCCATCCTAGTCTAAGCAAGGCTCGCAGTGCACCTGTGGAGGACACGACCGAGGGCGGGCGAGCTCCTCAGCGTGGATGATATCAACTCATTCACGGACTTGATTTACTGGTAGCCAAATTCAAAACTCTCAGAAAAGCCATGATACCCCAAACACGGATGCCTGCCTCCTAGGCTACAGCTCATTCGACATTAGGCACTCACCTCTCCCCTTGGCAGAGATTGACGTGGTGAAGAAGTTGAGAAGGCTGCAAGGTAGCACGGGAAGATGGCGTTGGGACTTAGATACCCTTCAGGGTATTTCTGTTAAGCTATTGTAGCCCAGGGAAATGTCATCCTCTATTCAGGATTGTTTACTTTCCTCTCCCCGTGTCAGGGTGGTCTCTGCTCCTATCCCATAGGATGCCCTGGAGTGGGTATCAGAGGGAGAAAGAGGGTGGCCCTTGTTCCGGGTATTTTCCCACCTGATCAGATCCCATCTGGGGTAGCCAGACTCCAAAGTGGTCCCTGAAAGTCCCTGCCTCCTGGTATCCACACCCTGTATAGTCCGTACTATACCAGGGTTGGTCTCCGTGTCCAATAGAGTAAGAAGTAAGTGATGGGATGTCAGTTTCAAGATTAGGTTATAAAAGACACGGCTGCTTCTATCCCGCGTGCCCTGCCTTGCTCGGCTGCCATGCCATAAACAGCCGTATGGAGAGGCCTCTGGGTCAATGAACTGAAGCCTCCCCAACAGCCACGTGAGTGAGCTTCGAAGTGGGTGCTCCAGCCGTCAAGGCCTCAGATGACGGGAGCCCCATCTGACAGCTTGACTGCAGCTCACGAGGGACCCCAAGCCAGAGCCACCCAGCTGAGCAGTTTCCCGATTCCTGACCCACAGGAATGTGCGAGAGAATCAGTGTCTGTTGTTTTTAGCTGCTGGGTTTGGGGGTAATTTGTTACACAGCAATATATCACTAATACACCCCCCATCCCATGACACTCCCCAGCCTCTCCCCTATGTCTCATGCAAGCAAGTCCCTAGAAGAGTCACCCAGAAATGCCTGACATGTGCCCCCACCCGGAGCCCAGACACTGAGACCTATCACATCAGGACCGCTTCCAGAGGGTGCTCCCTGACGTGTCCTCGGAGTCAGGGGCGGTGAGGAGGAGGACCAGTTACTCTCGCTAGGGTCTGAGGACACATTCGCAACCCAGAGAAGAGAGCATCACAGGGGGCACGTCACAGGTGCTGGCAGCCCAGAGGAATGAGGGCTGCTGGGTAGCCAGGGCCCCT